GGACTTGGTGCTGTCTGTGTCAAGAGGTGATTCAGGAATGGTCAGCTCTGGTTCGGACTTGGTGCTGTCTGTCGAGACGTGACTCAGGAATGGTCAGCTCTGGTTCGGACTTGGTGCTGTCTGTGTCAAGAGGTGATTCAGGAATGGTCAGCTCTGGTTCGGACTTCGTGCCATCTGTGTCGAGACATGATTCAGGAATGGGCTTGTGATCAGGGCTGCTTTCTTGCAGCAAATGTACTCATCCTGCCAAGATGGGGAAAGGGAGGTGAGAGCCACCACCACGTCCAGGGGAAGCGGCTCCTGCATCCGGCTGGCCCAGGATGTGTGGTTCCTACAGGGTCACTTGGGCACAGAGGAAAGTACCCAGCTTGAGCCCAGCCAGCACTCATAGGATGGATAGTCATGGTAGAAGGTACGGGGAGAGAGGTAGAGGCAGGAACCATGGTGGGAACCAAGGCTACCTAGGTGCCCCCTCAACAGCACGGGGTACTCCCCATGGAGAGCTTTGAGGGTCAGCAGCCATCAGAGCGCCAGGCCTTAGCCCAGTTTGATGCGGAACTCTTTGCCCTCTTCTTCCTGACCTGCCACAAAGCAGGAATGGATGGGAGGGTGGCAAGCAGCGGACGCAGGCGTTCCAGGCCGTCATCTACAGCTGGGGCAAGCACATCACCCCGAGACGGATTTGAGAGTGAAGCCCAGGCTGGTCTGGAAGGTCATGGAGATGGCCCAGGAAGTCTCTAGAGAGTGGGAAGGGGACTGGATGTGGCAGGGGGCGGTGGTGGTGGTAGGGGGCAAGAAAAGCCCAGGTTGGAGAGGCTCAGTGCAGTTAGGAGCTCGGCTTCGGGGCCAGGCAGACGCCTGGGCCAGCCCTTCCTGGCTGTGGGACTTCACACGGGTGATTTAAGGTTTCCTCATTTATAAATGGGAACCATGATAGTTCCCTCTCATCACATTGCTGGGGAAGCTTGAGTGAGAACAGGTAGAGCTCGGGAAATAGGCCGAGTGCGTGAGAAAAGCCAGGAAACGTGATTGTGGAGATGGCCGCCGAGCGCCGGAGAGGGGCTGGGGGCTGCTTCCAGGTCTCAGAATGAAAGCCACCCTGCCCCCATCCTCAGGCTGCCTTCACCTGGTTCCCAGAGAAACCTCCTCCAAGGCAACCGTCTCTACCACAGCCCGGCCTGGGCCCTTCCCTCCTTCCCCCACTGACATCAC